TTGAACCCTTTGGTCAGGATGGTCTGGCCCTGATAGACTTCCTCCTTGATGATTTTCCCCATCGTCCTTAATCCCAAGCTTAGAAAATGCTGGTCTGGCTGTACTGGGAAGAAAATGCTGAGGAGGTGGAGGAGGGTGGAGTCCTTAGGGATGTGGGCTTTGGAGTCCAGCAGACCCGGGTAGAACGCCGGGGCCCATGCTCGCTGAGCCTTGCTATGTGCCAGGTGCCGTTCTAGGAACTTTGTGGGATGTTACTCATTTGGTCCTTGCGGTGATCCTGTGGAGTAAGTTCCCTTATTATCCCCACATTCTGACTGAGGAAAGGGAGGTGGGAAGGAGCAAAATGTTTGCTCAGGTTATTGCTCACGACGGCTATGAAGCAGCGATGGAGGTTCAGACCCAGGTAAGCTGCCTCCAGGCTTCTTGCACTCAGCGCGATGCTGGGGTCAGTGTCCTTGCATATTGAAAGCAGAGGTATCACTGTGGTTCAGGCTAAATGTAGAAACACACGTTATTGACCTTGGTGCCTGGCGCCTAGCAAGTGCTCAGTAAGCTTGAACTGGAAAAAAAGTCAGGCTCCACCCTAGGAGGAATCTGTTTCTTATGCCTTATTATTTTATTTTACTTTTTATTTTTGGTAAGTAATTGCTTTTCTGCTCACAGGGAAGAAACCCTAGGAAAGAATGGAAAAAGTAGATGGGAGGCAGCTGAATTCTAGGCCTCTGAGCCTCACGGGAACCTAGGTGCTCAGAAATGAGAATCAGAATTTTCATTTTTTTTTTCACATCTGGGGAACTATAAACCATGTTCTTTTAAATTTGTCTTTCTCCTGCTTTTCTCTTCTTTCTTGTGCTTTTCAAACTAAGTGGGCAAACTTAGTGTGAAAGATTACGGTGCAGGAAAAGTATTCCTCTGTGATTCGGGCCTGTGTGTCTCTGATGCCTTGATACTTTTTACTCTCAACTTCTGAGGATAATCGTTGATAAGATGAACCTCCTGTGCCCTGGGGAGGAGAAAGTCATTGAGTTCTGTCTCGTCCTTGTCTCCTTGAATCAAACTCCATGTCTAACCCATAGCAGGTTTCCAAAGAATTAACTAGTGGGGTTTCTGCTCTCAGTTTTCTTTCCTTTTTTTCTGGTGAGGGGGAGAGTGTCTGTTTCGTGGGGAAGTGTCTGCCAAGTTCCACTGGAGATGGCCTCATCAAGACAGAGGTGTGAGGACCCCTTCCTCTCAGTCCAGCTGAGGCAAGAGTAGGTTGTCCAAACTTGGTTTCCTTGTACCCCAAGTACAAGCAGAATGGATTAGATGGGGAGTGTGGAAGGGGCCCTGGCCCCCTTTCCTCACCTCCTCCTGTTCTCTGTCACCTTAGGACAAAGGTTCTCAGGTGACCAGCCTGGATGGGCAGGTTCCCAGGGCTTTCTGAATTCTCTGTCACCCTGACCCCAACCTACTTCCTGATGTGCCCTGCTGGGGACTCCCTCCTACCATTCCTTCTCAGGCTTCAGGCCATCCTGTGGTGACCTTGGCAGTGGTTATTGTTCATTTTAGAATCTTTGGGACTTGTTTTTGAATAGGACTCTATTCATGTGGTTCCAACCGTTAAACCTCGAACAAGGTACACAGTGGATAATCTCTCACCCGCTTCCCAGAAGCCCAGTTCCCATAACCTCCTCCTCAAAGATAAGTATGGTAACAGTAGCTGATAATTCCAGAGTTTCTTCCTGCCCTTGTAAGGAGCTCATCTGGAAACACAGCTGACAACATGGGTTCCTATATATGAGGTCCCCAGCCTGGACTTGGGGTCTGATGGGGTGGGATATCTGTTGGCCAGCATCTCCCTGTAACTTCAGGAAATACCGTTTGCTGGAGTGTTGCCTTGTTTAAATTTCAGTGACAGCTTCAACCTCCTCCAATTCCTTGCCTGGGTGCACCAGGAGGACACATGATCCAGTGCTTTTATATGTGATTTTTAAAAACACATGTGTTTTTTGTGTTAGAAAAATCAAAAGTGTCATCTATTTTGGTTTGAAGGGCCTACTGGAAACCAAATTATACAGCTCATCCAGACTCAAACAGCAAGTTGTCAGAGCAGAATTAACCAATGAATTTCCAGGTATTATGTAAATAAAAATACGTATTCCTGTTTTTATCCTCTCTTTCGACAAGGCCCCCTGGTGTACGCACTATTCTACATCTTATTGTCTTTATGCTTAATATAACTTACATATTTTCATATTGTTGCTTACAGTACTTCTTGGTTTTTTTTTTAACAATTTCAAAGAATTGCAAAGAATGTGTGTATGGATGAACCATGATTTTTAAATCAGCTCTTTACTTGATTCCTATTTGGCTACAGTGAAAACTGTACATATATGCAGTGACCCTGCCTCATAACCTGCTCAGACAGAAGATAGGGTTTTGTAAGGGACAGAGAAACAGGGCATTTTGATTTGCCACCCAGTCTTGACATAGGTTTTCAGATGGGTCTTTTCTGCTCAGATAACTCTGTCCATCACTCTGGAGAGGGTCTTGAACTCAGGGTTAGTTAATAGGATGAGCATGTGGTTCTACTGTAGTCCACTACATTTCAAGTGTCTAAAGCAGGTTCCCAACTCTGTGTCTGGCTCTGGAGTAGTAAAGAAGTAATTGTCAGTATCCGGATGGTGGAGACGTTCTCTTCCCATCCCACTGTGTTCTTGTCCACCATCCCTTCGCCCCTGGGACGGCTGATTCTAGCTCCAGGCCCTTTGACTAAATCTGTCTTGGCAGTTGTATCAAATCCATTCTTGACTTCTTTCCTGAATCAGCTGATCTGACCTACGGCTTGGCCTTCCTGTTGTGCTCTGTGGCTTGCTGCAGCCCTGGCAACTGTGAGTGGGTGCTGCACCCACACCCCCCATAGGGAGCAGCTTCTTCTGCTCTCCCTGGAGGGAGCCAGGGAGGCTGCTGGGGATCTTCAACTGGGTGGCATCACACACTCCTTGAGTACCACTGTACATGTCCCAGGACAGCTGTCACTTATGAAGCCATGTCCAGCTCCAAGTCACAATCATCATGCCAGCCAAGATCCTGCCGCCCTGATGCTCCAAGAAGTGCCCTCATTCTGCATCTTGAAGGTCTCTCCTTCTCCTCGACCGCCTTCCCTTTCCGTCTTCCCCACAGCATCAGGGGCACAGTGCTTTCTGAGCCCAGGTTCCAGGACCCCAGTTCCACAGTGTGCCCTTAGCATGGTGAGCGCCCAAGCCAACCTTGTAAACGTCCACGGCAAGGGGCCATTACCAGGAGTTGTTTTTCTACTTTTTCATGAGCTTGGCTTCTTTGTGGTTTTGAGACTTCCCAGTAGCCACCAAGGCTTTGTTAGGAGGTGTTTCTCTCTCCTGTGGTCAGAGGCAGACTCCTTATCTCTTCTTCCTCCCTCTATGTGGGGCTGTTTCCTAGGGTGCTGTTTCCTGTCCTAGCCTCAGCCTGGAAGACCAGCAGGGATCCACCTGCTCTTAGTGCAGTGACTTTGGATGAAGATGTCCCCATCCCTGGCCAGATCCGGGAGAACCCCTGGGGTGTGTCAAGAGGGTAGCTCTCTAGGGACCTGCCATTAACTTGAATCTCAAAATGTTCCATCTACCATGGGACATATTTTCTGCTGAGGCAAAAGGAAGATATTTTTCTTGTTTGACACGTTTTGTATCTTTCCGGGGCTCACTCTTAAATTTTAGATCATGAGTGTTTCTCTCTTTTCTCAGTATTCTTTTGCTTATTTTCTGTACCTAACAACATCTGGCTGTAACAACCTCCCGTTCAGCCTTCAGTGACATGTGCCAGCATGTTTTGGGGAGTTAGTGCATACTCAGGGTTGTCGGAAGTTTGAGCATTTGCTCTTTAAGACTCAGAGCTGGTGGGGTGAGCAAAGGAAATCATTTGAAGTCGTGATGATGTTATTCCCACAAGAACACATTGGACCTTGGGAACCAGTTATTCTTGTATTTAGCTGCTTCATCTTCTCTGGATTGATGTGTCGACGCAACAGTAGGGATGGTCCCTTTATTTGTCATAGGGAAATGAGACTGGATGCCCAACTCCCAGTTTTTTATTTTCATTTTTTAGCACTTAAGACTTTGGAAATACCTTGTGAGTATATTTATTGAAATGCTATTTATCTCTACCCCTCTCCACACACCCATGAATAGAAACATAGAAACTCCACGGGGGTCTTGCCTGTCTTGTTTACCTTTGTACTCCTGGTGCCATGATGTTATGTGGCAAATACAGGACAGCACAGTAAATGTCTCGCCTGGGTCAATAGAATCTCTTTGTTCTTTCCTTTGTGGTCCGTTTTGAAAACGGCCTCAGACCCTCTGTGATCAGTGGTGAGACTGCCCGAACCATGGTGCCCAGTTGAATGTCAAGTCTGGGCATCTCTGATGGATTTGGAGGAGAGACAGATGGGGTTATGGGAAAAGATGTTGCAGAAGGTCTGGGCTCCAGTTTTGGCTCTGCCCCTATTTGGGGCAAGTCTGTGAGGCCCGATTTCTTTATGGGTACAGGAGGAATAATAATTACACCCTCCCACATACACACCAAATCCTCAGTTGAAGAATGTGTGAAAAGCGCTTCTTACACTATGAAGGGCTCTATAAATATGGAAGGTTGCAAAATGCTGTGTCTGTCTTCTTGCTTTTTTCTTTTTTCTTTTTTTCACCAAAGTCGGGTGTCCTGGCCTGCCCCAGCCGGCTCTGTTAGAGTTGGGATTTCCCGCAGCCGCCCTCTGCTGATAGTCACCCTTACAGAGCAAACTAAGGAGCAAATCTCCTTCTAGGATTTCACAGCTGTGATGACCTTGGGGGTGGAGGGCATTACTAGGACCCAGGAAAGTACCCTCCCTGCTCAGGCTGGGCCTCAGCCCTTATGCCACTGGTGAGCACATTGTCATGGCCCTGCATTGAGAACTGGTCACTATGAGCTGTGTCACCGAGGCCTGCTTGACCGTGTTTCTCTCTCCCCAGGCGCCTGCTGAAGAGTGAACTTGGGTCGTTTATTACAGACTATTTCCAGGTAAGCTGGGTGCGTCGGAGAATCCATCACTGTCACACATGTGGGGTCACGCAGCTGAAGGGCCATGTTCTATACACCTGGGTGTTCTTCAACACCCACACCCACATACACACCGTGCCCTGCAGGGCTGCTGCTGCGAGGGCACCAGGTGACCCCTGCAGGTAATGGAGACTCCAGCCACCCCGCTGCAGTTTTGCTCTGGCTATTTGGTCCCAGAACTCCTTTATGCTCTTAGAAATTGCTGCTTATTCAGGTTATATCTGTCAGTCTTTACCATACTAGAAATTAAGCCCAAGAAGCTTTAAAAAATATGTCTTAATTCATTGAAACCGATTACATTGTCATATAAATATCACTTTTATGAAAAATAGCTTTTTCAGAATTAAAAAATAGTGAGAGGATGGACACCGTCTTCTGTGTTGGAAAAATCTCAGTGCCATCTGGCTTCCTGGAAGATGGATAGAGTCTCCTGTCTGCTTCCCCTTCAGTCTGTTGGGATAGCGCAGGTCACGTGGTCTCTGGGAAACTCCACTGTGCATGCAGGGAGACGCAAAGGTAGCTAATAGCTGTGACCATGTGGGTCCCTTGAAAGGGTCTAGAGTAGCCCCCAGGGTCCCCAACCACACCCTGAGAATCCCTGCTCTCAGGGTATCCCCTCCCACTCCTGTGGGTGACAGCTAGTTGGGTGTAAGAGCACGTGCCCTTTAGCCAGCCATTTCCTGTCACAGGCTCCTGGGCTGCTCTGTTGAAGGCAGGATTGGATTAGATGTCAATCTTCCCTCCTGCCTACACACTCTTGTGGGGCTAATGAGTTCAAGGTTCCAGATCCACTTAGAGGATCATTTTTAATCCACAGACACAAGCTGCTTTCATGAATAACCCAAGGCAAGTATGTGGGGGACGGTGGGCGGAGACAATGAACAACGGTGACTGAGTGGGTGACACTTTAGTGAAGTTGGAGTCTCCACCTCTCACTGTGTGCTGAGTGGGCTGGAAAAGCTGCTTTATCTCTCTGTGCCCCAGTTTCCTCATCTGTGAAACAGGAATAAAATACAGCTTACCTTATAAGGTTACTATATGGTTTGCATGCAATAACACACTTGAAGCGCTGGGCACCTAGCATGTCAGAAGCTGAAGCTAGTGATCAAGATTATGGACCTTTGAGGCAGACTGAGCCCAGCATAATTGTTCACTAGCTGTGTGGCCCTGAGCAGATTGCTTCACCTCTCTGTGTTTTAGTTTCCTTTTCTGTAAAAAAAGGGGTAATAGGACCTAACCTTATAGGGTTGTGATAAAGACTAAAGATAAGTTATTTATAAAGTGCTTAGTTACTGCCAAAAACCAGGAGAGAGAGTAATCATGTTTATTATATGAGTCGTGTGTGTGTGTGTGTGTGTGTGTGTGTATGTGTGTGTGTGTGTGTGTGTGTGTTTTGTACCAGGGATTGAACTCAGGGGCGCTTAACCACTGAGCCACATCCCCAATCCTTTTTAAAAATATTTTATTTAGAGACAGAGTCTTGTTGAGTTACTTAGGACCTCACTAAATTGCCGAGGCTGGCTTTGAACTCGTGATCCTCCTGCCTCAGTCTCCAAAGCTGTTGGGATTATGGGAGTGTGCCACCGTGTCCAGGTTAACGCCTTCTTTTTAGTGGAACAATAAGAGCCCTGCTTAAGGATCTGGGTTTCAGGTGGGTTCCAAGTGGAGCATACTTTTTAAGACAGTTTAAAGACATTTCAAATTTTAAAAAACAGTGCAGTCTCCATTATATTATTTTTCTTTCCAAGATTCAGGAAGCTCAAACTTTTATGTACGCTTCAAAAGAACGACAAATATCAGCCCAAAAATGCCTCCTCTAAATGGAGACCAAGCAGGACCCAACAGAAGCCTGGAATTTGATGGGGTCAGACTCCTGTGCAGGGGGAGAGAAGCATGAGGAGGAAGAACCAGACAGAGAATTGGTTGCAGATGTGAATCATTTTTGCCCTTGACCCGAAGGTCAGCCTTGGGCTCACTGCCTGCTGCCTCTGTGGATTGACTTCTCGTCCAGTTACAGAGAGTGGTTTTTCACAGTCTTGGAGGGGCCCTCTGGGCTGGGCTGCCTTCCTCCTTGACCTTTGAAGGAGCCGGGTTTGGTGTGGTTTCAATCAGGTTTTAAATGTCAGCGTCTCTTGGCGTTGGGGGCTACCCTAGGTCGGGTGGGGAGGGATGTTTGGGTGGGGACTTTATCTGGGAAGCCCTGAGGTTTTTGGGGGCGGTTAATACTGCTTACAAAGCATGCCAGGCATTGAAAAACTAATAACCACTTGTGACTTCCTATCAGGGGCTTAATCAGAGAGGCTGCTTGGCGAATGTCTACGAAATCTGTTTCTGGGTGTGGGGGTTGGGGGCTGGGTTTAGTAGGGTTATTTTTTTTTTTAATTATTATTTTGGGTACCAGGAATTGAACGTAGGGGCACTCAACCACTGAGCCACATCCTTAACCCTATGTTTTATATTTTATTTAGAGTCAGGGTCTCACTGAATTGCTTAGTGCTTTGCTTTTGCTGAGGCTGGCTTTGAACTCACAATCCTCCTGTCTCCGCCTCCCAAGCCTCTAGGATTAGGTGTGCACCATCGTAGTCAGCATGGTTTTTGTAATTTTGAATCTGGGATTTTTCTTATTTAAGGAAAGAAGGCTCTTGAAGACATGGTTTTTCAAAATGTGGGTGCAGGACCTTTGGTTGCTTTTTAAATACTTGGTTCCCCACTCTCTGTAGAGTGCATAATAGATTCTTCGAAGAGCAGGGAGGGGCTGTTTATCAGAGATACCCAAAATGATTACAGGTAACACAATACACAGTGGCACTGGATAATGTTAGAGCTTGTGTTTCAAAAGTATTCCCGTTTTTTAATTTTCCTTTAGCCCTTATGATTGTGCCGGAGGTTCTTGGGCCATGTTATGTGTCTTGTGCCCTTCTCTGGGACTCAGCAACCTCCTGTGTTTAAGGAGGGAGTAGGAGCAGGCCTCAAATGTGGTGCCTGTGCTAGGGACATGGTCTAGTTAGGATTTTGTAACATTATTTGTTTGCATTAAGTTGATCATTGAGTGATACTGTGCTTATGGTAAATGACGTGCCTACAGTTTCCTTTTTAAACACAGTGACATTTAAAAAATGGCTTGGTGGTGCCCACCTGAAATCCCAGCTTTGTAGGAGGCTGAGGCAGGAGGATTCCAAGTTTGAGGTCAGCCTGGGCAACGTAATGAGACCCTGTCTCAAAATAAAATAAAAAGGGCTGGGGAAGTAGCTTAGAGATAGAATGTTCCTGGGTTCCATCCCCGGTAACAACATACACACACACACACACACACACACACACACACACACACACATACCCAGACACAAAGTGACTGGATTTAAGAAAAACAGTACGCAAAGAATAATAGGGTAAGTGGCCCCAACTATGGCCCCATCTGCGAAAGTGGTTCAAGAGAGTTGGGTTAGAGCCCAGTGCCAGGTGCTACTTGAAAAGGAGCTGTTTCAAAGCCATTCCCATTTCAGGAGAAATCTCCATGTGAGGAGGGCAATCCAGGCTCATAGGGGCAAGCTGGCCTTCAGCTACCATTGAGATGTCAGGAAGGAAAGCTAATAAGGGCTCGGGAAAGAACTCCCCAGCAAGAGGACAAGAGGAAGGTGTAGGGCAGAGGAGCAGCACCGCCCAGGGTGGGCAAGGGAGTCCCCCCAACTCAGCAGAGCCCAGGGTGGGCAGGGAAGTCCCCCCAGCTGTGGATATGGCTTTGTGGGAAGGTGAAGAGTGGGTGCTGGGCTCTTCAGTGCCGATGGGCACCCCCAGGCTCATGCATTCAGCAGTGAGGTCTGTCCCCTCTGGGACCCGCCTTCCAGCTCAGCTCACCACCTGCAGAGCCACAGAGAGGCTCTGAGCATTTTCATTTTACAGTTTTAAAGAAAGATTCATAGAAAGAATATCCACCTGTGAAGAATAATGAAAATGACCCGAGGTGAGGGCACGGGAAGCAGGTAAAAAAATGATATTTATCTTGGGTCTGCACACAGAGAAGTCGGGCTGTTTGATCCGCAGAAGCCTGGAAAGATTTCCACGAGACACTGGCTGGAAAAATCTCTGACATTTCCAGTATCGATTTTTTTCTTTTCCTTCTGTCTGTTTTGAATTGTGCCCGGAAGGAAAATTAAGGCTTCCAAGTGGAACTCTATATCCTAGCACCAGCTCCGGAGGATAATTGGTCCCTTATAACTTTTGAAACTGATGATGTGAAATGTTCTGCATTATTATTATTATTTTTTTTAATTTCCTTGCTGGGTACCTTGGTGCTTCAGGCATGAGGGGTGGGCCTGGGCCACACAGAACACTGTCTGCCGTCAGCAGGCTGCGTTGTTTGTTAAAGGCCTCTCTTCTGCCCCAGAAAGTTCCATCCCTTTTGTTGAAACTAGAGTTTTGTTGGTACAGAAACTTGTGTAGAGTCTGAGTGAGCTAGTTCTAGGAAGAAGGGAAATTTAGTCACCCATTTGCCAGTAGGTCATAGGTGCCATGTAGTGTGTGGTATATGTGTGTGTGTGTGTGTGTGTGTGCCTGTGTGTGCATATATAACACATACACAAACATATAGTATTTTTTTCAATTTGCTTCTCACATCTGCAAGAGTCCCAGGAAGCCAGTTTCCCCTAGCTCATCATCACCAAAGAATATTAAGGACATATGGCACCTGGCATGGAGCTAAAGGAGGAGACCCCTAGGAAGCATCCTGGTGACCATGGAGTTAAAATTGGAGACAGCACAGGGGTAAAGATGCATCTTTATGGGTAACGCACAGCGCAGCCTGAATTGAAGAGCAGGTTGGGTGGCAAAGATGTAAAAACAGGTCCAGCATAACCCTCTCTACAAAGCCTCCCTGTTCACGGAGGAGGAGGAGGCAAGCAGTACAGGCAGGATCTAATCAGGGAGCTAGAAATACTGAATTCTACCTCAGAGGACACAGCCGC